TTGGAACGGCCGCTTCCTACGACTTTAACATGGTTCTAACTGCAGCCGTCTTCCTGTGCAGAAGCAGCCATGTGTTTTATTCTCCTGACAATCTAATCCCATCTAATCCCTCCTACCTTTACGTTGGACCTATAGAGGCGCCGTTTCACATTTATTCCACGTTACAGGTCGTTTTTTTGTCTCAATTGTACAATTTAAATGAATCAAACAACAAAATGTCAGACTTATCATTTAATTTTATCATATAATATTATGTGAAGTCCTGGAAATACATTTCATTCATATTTATTGTATTTCTGATCCTTATTTGAGACACTTGAACATTATAAGAATCATTAATCTGATCAAAATAATTTATCTAAAAATAGTGAAGGGTCATTTATTGGCTTTACAGCCATCAAACTGTCCCAGTGATTGCTGAACAGTATTTATCATGTTTCACTGATGATTTAAAAAGATCTTTGTTGTTCGGCTCCAAATATGAACTTTTAGCTCCGTTTAAGTTCTCTAGAAAAACGTCAGATTTTATATTTTTAAACATAAAAAACATCCTTGTAAATTTAAAACTGATTTAAGATCTAAACCTGGATCATTTTAAGGCTCTATGCAGACTTAGTAACTCCCAGGTGGCGCTATTTCTAGTTCAGCAGGAAACAAAAAAGTGTTATTGTTGTTTTTAACATCACTTTCCCAGAGTAAGATGGTTTAACAGTTTTCCATCTAACATGCATCATCAGGGAATGACTGTAAAAAATCATGACTGAAGCTCAGAGGGAAACAACAGACATCTGAACTTCTGAATAATTTCCTAGTAGCCCATCTTATCCTTACCTTATAAATAAAAAAACAATAATTTATTTGGGCTCAACTGAGAGGAAGTGTTCTTGCGCTGATCATCAGCCATGATCAAAGCTGTTATTTCTTATATATAAGCATGCAGCGTTATGGCAGCTGGTCAAAGGTAAAGCAGAACGACCCTCATGCCCGTTAACGCCTCTATAGCTAACAAACATGCACACTGCGACGCAAAGTCTTAGATCCTCGTGTTTCAAGGAGAAGCAGAGCCTTGCATATTAATGAAATGTAGTCATGTCACCAGAGGGCACTAATGTTCTTTTCATTCTCATCATCGCTGCACCCGTTTTGAGATTAAATTTGAGTTAAAACTGCATTTAAAGGGGATGATGATTAATTCCGGTACCTTCTGCCGGTTCTGAAGGCTGGTGTGATTAGCACGGTTCTTTCTGCTTTGCAGTCTGGCTCATTTTTCTTCCTGAATGCTGTCTGAGTCTGAAGTGCTTTCTAAATAAGAAGCAGAAACCTCAAAGGGTTTTTTTTTACATCAGTGTGCAAAAAACAAAAAGGATTCCTTGGTCTATGAGCCCCAGATATGTCTTATAAAATCCTACCTTAAAGAAGCACATCAAGCCTAAGCCTAATAAGTAAACTTTCTTTAAGTCCTCTAAGCCCAAAGGAGGAGCTTGATGCTGGTTTTTCATCCTTCACAGGCTACCCTGAAATGCGTCTCCTCCTTTCCTTGCTTCACCTAGCCGTCCTCTCGCCATCCCTGTCCTTTTCCACGCTGGACTCCAGACCACTTTCATCCACCTGCTTTCTATTTGACCTCCAAACCCGGGCCCGCCCCTTCACACAGTCCCCCGATCGCTCTCACCTCCTTAGCCATGTGCTTTCTAAATCTGTTTTCCTGCCTGTCTCTGTTTCTGTGTCTTTCTCACGCTCTCTGGTGTTTTTTTCTCCTCTGCCTGTCATTATTCCCTTCCTTTGTCTACTTTGGGATCTCTGCATCATCTCTTCCCCCTTAGTGGGGCGGTGTCAGGCGGCCAGAAGGGGGCTGCCGCTGCTGGGTGTGGGGATGCTGGGGGGGGTCCTTATCGCAGTGACAGCGTGAAGAGCATGGTGACGGAAGAAGTGAAGGCTGGGAAGTGGCAGACTGTCCAGAGCCACATGCAGGCCGGAGGATTAAGACCTACCAAGTGAGTTCAGAACCAAAGCTTAGCTTATCCTTCAGCTACATGCAGATGCATTTCCAGGGAGCTCATCCCTGTAGAGCTCCCAGTAATGACAGAAAATGGGTGAAGGAAATAATATCTCCACCTCTGACCAAAGCTCCGTCTCTATCATGCATCATATTTCCCCTGCTTGCTGTGAAAAGTTTTCTTTTGTTGCTCGACTGCTCATTGACTCATAAATAACCTTTAAAAACTCACCCAATCATATTTCAGTGCACATTAATGCATTGCTCATTAAATATGCATATTTTTAACAGGCCTATTGACATAAAATTTAAACAACCTGATTAATTTGCTCACATAAATTGAATTACTTTAGCCAATGTGTGATAAAATTGGACTATACATGAGTTACAGCAGAGATGGTCTTTCTTTGCCACATGACAGAACTGCTTTATCCTCAGTGGAGTCCGTCGGTCACACAGATCATTGCTATTTAGTGCATTATTCTATCCATCCTGTCCTGCTTAGTCCCGTCAGGGTCGCGGTGGGGGCGGGGCCTATCTGAGCGAGAGGCTGGGTCCCCCCTGAACACGTCTGCAGTCCATCGCAGTGCAACACTGACAACCGTTCACTCACACCTAAAGAGGATTTAGAGAAGCCAGTTAACCTAACATTCATGTTTTTGGACTATGGGAGGAAGCTGGAGTACCCAGAGAGAACCCATGCATGCTCAGGGAGAACATGCAGACTCCGGGCTGGGAACCTTCTTCCTGCAAGGTGTCTGCGCTGTCATTACCCGATCCGTACCGAAAGCACGATCCGTACCATCAGCTCATTTGCGCGTGCGCAAACAGAATAACTTCCGGTGGCAATATTTCCTTTTTCTTACTTTTTTATTCTTTTGTTTTTTTTAGAGGCATGGGTTTCTTTTTGTATATCTTTGTATTTTGGTCAATATTGCATTTTCTAAAAATAAAAAAACAGAAATACATAAAAGAGTTCAATCGCCTTGTGATAGTTACTTTGACTGCTCTGAGCATGCGCAAATATACGTCACACAGCGTATATATTTAAATTTGTTTAAATATTTGATTTACTCTGTACTTAACTATGCACTCCAGCAGTACTGATCCCACAATGGATTCATTTGCTACCTTTCCTGACCTGCAGTTTTTCATTGATAAGGGAACATTTCCCGAAAATTTGGATTTTTATTCCAGAAAAAATTACGTGAAGCAATACAATGGATTGAATTTAAAAAGCATCCATTTCTTCCAGAAAAGTCTTCAATATTGTCTTTACGATATAGTTTAGTATTCTTTAATTATTTAAGGATATAAATAAAGTTTTTTCAGTACCGTAATTACATTATTTTTTGACGACCCGGAAGTTATTCTGTTCGCGCAGGCGCAAATGAGCTGATGGTACGGATCGGGTAGCGACATGCGCTACCCACTGCCCCACCCTGCAGCCCCGCCATTATTCTAGTTTAATGAAAAACATGTACTTCCTGATCCTGTTTTTTCTGTTTTTATTTTCTAAGTGGACCTCAGAGGAATATGGGGCTAAAATAAACCCAAGAAGTACAACTAGGCTCATCAATGCTGGTAACTAGGGTGGTGTTTCTCTCCACTCTGCAGTTTAAGGTTAGCGTATAGTTATATACTAAATAAAGGCAAAGATTTATTAAATGATAATGATGTTAATCTAAAAAAAACTGGCTTACTTACTAATAAGCAATAAGAAACTGGTATTCCAGAAATGTAGTGATCAATTAACAAACACCTTAATGTGAATAATTTGTGCTCCTGTCTGATAAAAGATGCACTGATGGGTAATATAAAGCCCAAGTTTAAACGTTAATCTGGCTTTCAAGGGTTAGAACTAAAATCATCAATGATAGGATCTAATAAGTCATTCTGATCAGCTGAGATTAGGTCAGGAATCGTATACAAGTCATTAGAAAAACATTGACCAGGATCCTGAGGTGATACTGGGATTAGATCAGGATGTCCTCTGGTTGAAGAGGTCACTCTGGTTTCTGTTGGATTTACGCTCCGCCTGCAAGGCCGCAGAAAAGCAGAAACACAGAAATCCTCTCCTTCTATCTAACTGTAACAATCCTCTTTCCAAAAATATTTAAAAAAAACAATCCGCTGGACTTTGCTTCCAAGTTTGAAGACGTTTCTCTTCCATCCAGGAAGATTTTTCAATTCAAAATGTCAGAAATAGGGTTTAGTTCCAGGTTTTATCCAGCAGCCCAACAAAGCCTTTAGAAAACATGCAAGTTAAACCTGCAATGCATTTCAGAGACATAGAAAGGTATGGGGCATTGCAGGCTAACAAAGAAGCCAAACGACCCCCATTCCAAAGGGGGGGACCCGTTCATCCGTTTCTATTTGCATGTTTTCTAAACTAAAACCAGGCTTTGTTGGGCTGCTGGATAAAACCTGGAACTAAACACTATTTCTGACATTTGGAATTGAAAAATCTTCCTGAAGAGAAACAACAAAGTTTCCAAGTTTAAAGTTTCTTTTTTAAACTTTTTTGGAATGACTGACCTGGATGACCCCAGCATGTATAACAATAGTCTAAATCGTTGCTTTTTAGGGAAATAAATGAACTTGCAATGTAAACTGTGTGTTGGCTGTAAAAATAGCTCATCCATGACGTCTGACATGATCTCAGGTCTATATTCAGTCTTGTGTAAATGAGGCAGTTAAACGCGGCTGCTGTGATTTTCTTCACATTCCTTTTACACTTCATTCCTGCGATTTCTTCCTCCACAACACATTTACGCTCATCACTGCCTCGCTCCCTACTTTTCTCCTCCTCTCATCGTTCTTTTTGCCCCTGTCTGTAATTGGATTCTATTTTCAGGTCGCCATGAGTGTCTGTGTGTCTCCAGTGTTTGTGTCTCTTCTCCATCGTCACCCTGTGCTCCTATCGCTCTCCATCGCGCTGTCATCATGTACTTTACCCCAACTATTCTCCACCTGTCTGCTACTAACTGGTTTACTTTACATTGACCCTTTTTTCATCCTTTTCTTTGGGAGAGTTTGGTTCAGGAAATATCACAAGAAAAGCTGTGTGTAAAATGTGTTGGATGAGGTAAGGCACCAACCGTATCTCTCTAATGACCTAGATCCCGTAGTCTGGGTTACAAGGTAGGAAGTTATATTTAGTTTAAAGAAAAAGAAAACAGAAAAATTCAGGATCAGAAGTACTGTACATTTGACCAAATCTGAATGTCTTTGTACGCAAACAAAGAGTCGGTAACATCTTTATGTCAGGAAAGGCAGTTAATCCGTGTTTATGAAGGGGAGGAGTGGAAATTAGGAGCCTGGCAGAGGGAGGGAGTCCTGGTGCAGAAGTTGGTTGGCTGTCAGGATGTCTCTAGAGGTCCTGCATGTGTTTAAAAGACCAAAATACTTAGAGAGAGACGAGGAGAGGCTATCAGAGGTGGAAATGTTGATGAACAAGTAGAGGAAATGGGGATTTCTCGTCAGAACACCAAGCCCTCATCGGCGAGGCCTGGAAGCAGCAAAACTGCGACGCGGACTCCTAGATACGGCCGTACGGTTCAGAGCCGCTCCACGCCTGTACGGACCGTCAGCATCCGACCGCTGCCGCAGAGAAACACGGCTGCACGCAAACAGCACACCCAAGCTGTTCCGCCACGCAGGGCGAACTTGCGTCCAGCGCAGACTCATTGTCTGACTCAGCATCTGGAGCAGCACATTTCACATGGCGATCATCATGCAGGCTGCACCTTCTACTGCTATTTTTGCTACTGCTGTTACAGCTGCTGCCTCATGTTGCTCTCTTTTTCTCTCCTCCTTCTTCTCTCTCCACCTAACAACACTCCTCTCTCTGATCCCTCCTCCACTTTGACCTCCAATGCAACCACACCTCCCTCCTCCTCCTCCTCCATCACACAATCTTCAACTTCCTGTTTGGATGAACTTTCCTGCTTCTGTCCTGATGTCAACTTGACTTCATCTCCAATATCTTCCCGATGCTCCCAATCTCTTTGTCTAATCACCTCCTGCACTGACCGACCCCCCTCCACCTGTCGTGGCTCCGCTTCTTCTTCTTCTACAACTTCGGACTCCTCCATGCGTCCTCAAAAACCACTCCTCTGCCGGCCTTGGCCCTTGACGCGCTCCCTTTCCTCCTTACTCCTCTGTCCCCCCAGCTTTGGCGAGCCAGTTTTATCCTATGCCTCCACTCTGGAGCACATTCCCTCTCGGCCTCGGACGCTGCTGAGGCAGCAGAGTCTGCAGCAGCCGCTGATCCAGCCGTCAGGGCCGGGTCTCAGCCACCCGCCTACCACGTCTCAAAGCTTGGGACAGTTACATACTGCACCTGGGGGGGCAGGGAGAGGAGAAAGAGGCAGTAACAGTGGTGAGGTTGGGGGAGCAGGTACACGAGGCAGGGGCTCAAGAGGCGGGTCAGCGGGCGCCGCCGCTTCACGCTACAGGGGAGGAGGAACAGGAGGGCGCTCCAGAGGAAGTCCTGGCAGCTGGGATTACGTCATGGACCAGATGAAGAACCGCGGTCTGGATGTCAAGTCCTTCCTGTAAGTCTCCATAAGCTTTCTATTATCTATTAATCCTTTTTCTCTCACATTATATACTCTGTATGGGTTTATCATGATATGTGTTTGTGCAAACTATGTCTTTACTAGCTTTAACAGTTTTAACAACCTTAAAGCTTTGGATATAGTAGTTCTATATGTTTAAGATCTAACCAGTGCATAATTTACAGGCAACAATTATTCTCATCCTTCTGATGTTTTCTGTATGTTTGCATCTGATATCCAGGGAAGGATATTGTTTCTGTCAAAATACAAAATGAGAATTATGTGTTGATTGGAACAGAGCTGAGTTTAGCCTTTGCTCCTATTGTAGCTTTCCAAAAAAGTTAAAAAC